CTATGAAATACCTTTCCCCTCCCATCTGAACATATGTCAGGAAATTAGACTAGACATTTAGCATTTACTCATCTGGCTCTCTAACTCTATGACTTATTTACCAAATTCCTTAACCATTGAGCCATGTCTCCAGCTCATATTTTCTGAATTCCTAATAAACACAGTGCCCGGCTCTGTACTAGACACAGGCTGAGTAATTCTAATCTACAACTTCAACTTACAACTTAGTAAACAAAACGAAACATGATTAACTATAAAGCAATACACTCTGCTAATAACATAAATCAAAAAATATTTTTAAAGCCTAAGGAATAATTCTTCCTGTAAGTAGAGTAAGTAGTTACTTTTCTGCTACTGGGAAAACACACCATAACCAAGGTAACTTACACAGAAAGAGGCAGGACAGCAGGCAGGCATGGGAGCTGAGAGAGCACACCTCAGCTATAATCACAAGGCAGAAGAGGGAACTGTAAGCAGAAAGAGGATAAGACTCCAAAAACCTGCCTCTAGTAACATACTCCCTTCAGCAAGGCTGCACCTCCTAAGCCTCCCCAAACAGCAACAAGTGTCCAAATGCATGAGCCCACGGGAGACATTCTCATTCAAACCACCAAATAGGGAGACAAGTTCTTTGAGACTGCCTCACGTACAGATTGAACTGTGTCACCCTCCCTCATTCACAGGTGGAATCTCTCTCAATGTGGTTGTATTTGAAAAGAGGTCCTGTAAAGAGGTAACTAATTATGGTTGAGTAAGGCAAGAAGGGCAGAGTTCCAATACCTCACAGGAGAAAGAAGTGGTGTGTTAGCTTCTACACCAAGGAGGCTAAAGCAAGAGTATTACGAGTTTGACAGGAAAAACCATTCACAATAATCACAACTTGGAGGCTAGACTGAACATAGCAAGGTTGTCTCAAAGGAGGAAGAGAAGAGGCATCAGAGACCAAGGGGGTAGCTTTTCCAGAGTACAAGGACCTTTCTGACCCTTAGAAAGGCCTGGAAAGATAATCTTCACTGTTCTCAACGATGCCTCCTGGCTTAGTGGCAACACTCCAAACAGAACCTCCTGGAAGGCAAGATGCTTCAGTGGGTACAGCACTTGCCATGAATCCTGAAGACCATCCTGAGTTCCATCCCCAGGACCCATGTAAAGGGGGAGGTGAGTAAATAAATGCAAAGGTTTAAAGTAGCATTAGTTCTGTCTTAAAGTAATTTACTGAATACATGAATGGCTTTGTGGCTTCTAGACTGTTGTTAATTAATTCTGAGAAGAAACCTCACCCCAACACCTAAAAACCCATGAAGAGCACATCACTACCGTCAAGGCTGGGAGGGATAGCCAACAATCTGAAACCACACCTGAGTGGGTTTCCTTCACATCCTCTTTCTTAAATGTCTGAGAACCAAATATGAAGCCAGAAGGAGAAAGAGGAAGAGACTACGCAATCAAACAGCTACTTACTCCTTTAGTTCTATGAAGAAATTAAGAGCCTGTATGGTGGGTTCCCAGCCAATCATCCTGGGAAAGTTTACTGTGTTTATTGGTGGAAGCCATTTTCTAAGGAGGTCATTGCTGAATGAGGCAGAAGCCTGGCAGGACCAGAGTTCTTCTGCTCTCTGTGGCATCTTAGGAGCAGAAGTCATGACATGCCATGCAAGCAGCTAAGCCTTCATCCCAAATCCCTCACCAGATGAGGCTGACTGTGAGCTTCCAGACACTAGGCAGGCTCTGGATAGGTGAAGAGCCTGTTTCTTTAAAGTAAGGGCAGAGGTGTCAGTGAGTCCAGCAATAATAACATGCACAGAATTTGAGTTACAGGGCTGTGATGTAGCCCATCAGTTAGACCTAGCACATACGATGCCCAATACCACACAGGGCATACGGGGGCCTATGTGTTTATATGTGGGAACAGAGAAAACACTTTTAGCCAGTTTTATGGGAAAGCAGGGTGGGAATGACTGGTAACATCCAATTTAGAGGTCTCCATGAAAGGGCTAGCGGTGACTCTCCCTCACACCTCCACCTTAACTGGGTGACAGCTAGCTGGGAGGCACCCCCATTGGAACCTTTATCTGCAACAGTTACATATTATTTAGGTTTCTTCTGCTCAGTTGTTTGCTCTCTCACAGAAGCCAGCCTGCCCCTCACACTCCCAGATGTGCCTTGCAGCTGTGTAGGGAGTGACTCTAATATGGAGCTCCTCTCCCTGTCCTTACATCATTGACCCTGAAATGAACAAGAAAAGAACTTCAAAAGAAACAGTAGAAACAAAAGACTAGACATGGGGGGGGGTGTGCAAAGAGAAGAGCCCAGGAGATTAACTTTCGTGGGGAGGTCTCAAGACAATGGGAACAAAAAGCACAGAACACCTAAAACAGGGGGGGTAGGTGGGAGGGGGGTGTTAGAGTTCCACAGTACCTTTTTATTAGATTATTCCAAGTAACTTTCTCATTCTCAAAGTGAACCTGATCTCTGGTGATCTTAACTCCCCACATCTCTCTTTACAGCTCCTACTCCTTCAGGTAAATAGTGGCTTAACTATTTCTAGAATAAATTATCTTTCTGCCTTGAACCTATAAGCTCTCTTGCCACCTGGCCCCATTGCTGCATTCCTTGGTGAAAAACATGCTTTCCAATGATTATGCAACAAATACTCTTCGGGAAAGAACCAATGAAATCCAGTCTCACTGTTTCTGGGCTGGGAAGATGGCTCTGCCAGTAAAGTACTTGCTTTGTAAGCACAAGAACCTGAGTTCAGTTACCAGAATCCATGTAAATATCAGGATGCTGGCACACGCTTGTAAGGGGATGCTAGCACAGGTTTGTAAGGTAGGGGTAGAGATAGGCAGATCTCTGGAGGGTGCTTGCCTAGCTTACTTGGCCAATGGGAAAGCCTGTCTCAAAAAATAAGGTGGATATCACTCCTGAAGAGCAATACCTGAAGTTGTTCTCTGGTTACACACACACACACACACACACACACACACACACACACACACACACACACACACACACCGACACACACACACTTTAAAATCCTGTCATTGTGACAACACATTTCTGCCCTGTCCTAAGTACTGGAGTCATTCCCTCAGTATGTATCTCATAAGTAGTTTTTCTGAACAGGTAGAGATCTGCTCCAGCCCCTAAAGAATACAAGGAAGTCTGTGAATCCACTATTAAGTGTATGACAGTTGCAATAGGAGATGGAAGGAAAGCTACCTGGTGCCTAAATGTCATCTAATTTCAAAAGTCTAATAATGAAGGACCACTCCAGATTTACACTACATTGCACAGCCAGGTGATGGCAACTCTCTTCAGAGCATACACATGTTTGGGTATTTATTTTTAAAATGTATTTATTTACTTACTTATTTTTGAGACAGGGTATTGTTATGTAGCCCAGACTGGCCTTGAACTTATAAGCCTCCAGCATCATCCTCCAACATGCTGGAAGTACAAGAGTATGTCACACCATGGCAGGCTGGACCCAGCATTTAAATTTTTCAACACTGTTAAAAAGACTCTGAACATAAACTTGGGTCCAAGTCCCACCTCTTCATTTACTGGCAACATGACCTTCGATGCTTTTCAAGGTCTTTAAGGATCAGCTCTTTTTTCTGTTAAGGAGACACAGTACCATCTTCTATGGGAAGATTTAAGTAAGTTGGTATTTATACATCACAGAATATGATACCTAACATATATAGTAAGTACTCAAAATAATGGGTTTTATATTATTCATAACAAAAGTGTTCTTGAAATTTAGTCAATGACATTAAAATAATTAAAAATATTATTGATCAGGACTAGAGAAATGCTACAATTGTTAAGAGAGCCCTGCTCTTGCAGAGGAGCAGGTTTGGTTCCCAGCTCCCAAGTGGGGCTATTCACAACCATCTGTAACTCCAGTTTCAGTGGATCTGCTGCTCTCTTCTAGACTCCATGGGTATTTATTACTGCCCCACAACATACATACATGACATACACTCACACACACACACACACATCAACAAAAATAATCTTTAAAACATCATTTAACCAAATACATGTAAGTACATTTTAAAATTTTTGTGGTTTGTTTTCCTTTCCTGTATTTAGTGTATGGGGGTGGGGTCTCTCTCTCTCTCCCTCTCTTTCTCTCTCTCTCTCTCTCTCTCTCTCTCTCTCATATTCAGGCACACATGTGATAGATAAGTCACAGAACAACTTAGAGGAGACTAAGCTCTCTCCTTTCACCATGTGGCTCCCAGGAACTCAGGCCAGCAGGCTTGGTAGCAGGTATCTTTACCTAGTGATCCATCTTGCAGGCGCTAAATGGTTTTGTTATTTGTTTTTTTGTGTGTGTGTTTCTTTTTTTCAAATTCGTGCATCTATTCTCAGAATATACAAACTTATCTTCTCAAAGAATAGACAAAAGAAATGTCACCCCATGACTTAGAGATGGAACACTGCCAGCTTACTCTGTCCCCATATCTAAAACAATTCCCTGGGGCAGGGATGCCTGGAGTGCGCAGGACACTGTGGTACAGGGCTACACACAGTTCTAAAACCTCAGAATCTGTTCTATATCGCAAATGGAAAACAGTTACCAAAGCAACAGAGATAGCCACAGTCTCCATGGTGCCAGATCCCCTACGTAACTTTCACAACAATGTCACTGCAATACACAGTTACACTTAACCTCTGTGCTACCAGAGATTTCATCAGGTGTTTATTCTGTCGGGGGATAGTGCTGAACAGTCACCCCATAACCAAGACAGTCACCAAGATGCATGGGAGAGCACTGAGCCAAACCTGTGGTAATTCCCTCCCCCTGCCTCCTGCAGCATCTACCTGGCCATATGTTGCCCTGCACACAGGCCTTTGCCCTTGAAGGACTAAGGCTAGGGAGTCAGGTTGTTTCCTAAGTGCCCCAGCACAAGAATGAGAACCTAGAAAAGAGATATGAAGGTCTTAAAGAACAGGACCCAGTGTCAAGGCATACCCTTAAATCCATGGAAGTGTCCTGGCAAGCAAGAATGGCTTCTCCCCAGAGCTTCTTAGTGAGGCCCATGGCTTGGGCTGGGTAGCTCTGGGAGGCAAGATGATAGACTTTCTAGGAGGTTGCTCCAGCTCATTGAACACAGCGGAGCTCTTGTGATGGCTATACCACTCTTCCTTGCTTGTTTTAGGTGGCCAGTGTAGCAAATGTAATTGTCAATATTTTTGGCTGTAACATAGTTGATAACCCTTAGACACATCTTGGATACAACCATGACCAGCCAAACCATACATTCTGGACATCTAGCTCAAAGCTTATGTCAATCATCTCACCTGTCTTATCCCTAACACCACAGGTAGAACAGCTCAATACCAGGTAGTGCTCTTCTGTACATCATCAGGTGATGACCACAATCTCACAATCCATTTGGAGCCCAAAGCTTCGGTCTTCTCTGGAGATGCCACCAATAGCAGCCACACTGAGCTAGCAGCTTTCCAAACCTGATTTTTTTTCTTTCTCAGTCTGCTGAGCCAGGTCACAGGTAGGAGCCAGAATGATAAGGGCCCTAGTCTGACTCTTGCCAGTCCTGGGAAGTATGGTGATCCAGACAAGTAATAGAATGAGGAGGACTGCTTGCTGTCTTGCCACTGCTAGTCTCAACTACACCAATGATGTCATGGTTCTGCAGCCCAATGGGAACTGCCTAATACTGCACAGGTATTGGCTTTTTGTAACTATACTTACTAATGATCTCCAAGGTATGTGGGGACTGTGGTGTCTTTCTTCCTCTTTCTCCCTTTCTTCAGGCTTTGCCTATTTTCCATCAGGTCTCCATAGAAGCATGGCTGCTCTTGTTTCTGCTGCTTTAGGTCAATGCCCACAATTAAGTCTGAACCCCAACAAGCGTATCTGGTACTTCCTTTTTTTAAAGTTTATTTTATTATCTTTAAGCACTCATGCCTGAGAGATAGGGGGAGAGAGAATATGTGTGTTTGTATAACCATATACAGACGCTGTGGAAGCCAGAGGCTAGAGTTAAAGGTAGTTGTGACCCTTTGGACATGGGTGATGGCTGCTGGAACCAAAGTCAGGGCCACTGAACCATCTTCCTCCAGAAGCCTGATGCTCCTTTAAAAAAAAAAAAAAAAAAAAAAAAAAAAAAAGTGGTGTTTTGGAACTTTTTTTTTTATGCTATGTAATATTACTTTAACTGTAAAGGTGTGTTACTTTTGTTTATGCTGCATTTGTATGACTATGTAAAGATCTTTTGCATTTGTTTTGCCTTGCCTGCCTAAGGTACTTGATGGGTCTAATAAAAAGCTGAATGGCCAATAGCTAGGCAGGAGAAGGCTATGTAGGGCTGGCGGGTAAAGAGAATAAATAGGAGGAGAGAATGAGGTACACGCCAGGGGCAAGAAGCCAAGCAGATGCCAGCCAGACACAGAGAAGCTGTGAAAGTAAGATATACAGAAGTAAGAAAGGTAATAAGCCCCGAGGCAAAAGGTAGATGGTAGGTACAAATAATAAAACCTAGAGACTGACACTGGGATTCAAGCTGATGGTCAGATAAGCAAAGCAGCTGGCTACTAGCTCTTACCTCTACCTCAGACTGAAGGGGTGACTGTCTAGCTTCTCAAATCCTCAGACTACAATCCTGTCTCCACTAAGTCTCAGACTCCAATCCCAGACTGCTGCTTCTTCCTTTTATACCACTCAAATCCTGGGATTAAAGATGTGTTATCCCAAGTGCTGAAATCACCTTTGTGTGAGCTGTTTCTCTTTAAACCTGGATCAATTTCATGTAGCTCAGTATGGCCTTGAACTAACAGAGATCCATCTGCTTGTCTCTTGAGTCCTGGGATTAAAGGTGTTTTGCCACCACCACCTGGCTCTATGGCTAGCTAGTATGGCTGCTGGAATTAAAGGTATGTATTCACCACTGCCTGACTTCTATGGCTTGTGGCTTGCTTTGCTTTCTGAACCCTCAGGCAAGCTTTAATAAATCATAAATAATATATCCCCATAGTACATAAAGAGAAACAGGTTAAGTTAAAAGAGCTAGTTAGAAATGAGCCTATCTAAGTCAAGTATTCGAAACTAGTAGTAAGTTTCTGTGTCATGATTTGGGAGCTGGTTAGTGACCTAAAAGAAAAAAGCCTGGTAAAAGGTGGGTGCAGTAAATGGAAGTATCTTCAGATATGTCCCTCAGTGAGAAATCTGTGATCATTGTTCAGTGCTATTTTTTGATGCCACCAAGATAACGCTGTGCACTCTCTCTCTCTCTCTCTCTCTCTCTCTCTCTCTCTCTCTCCTGCTCTTTCCAATCATCTGTCACCTTTTCTCTCTTCCTTTCCATTGGTCTATTGCTCCACTGACTCTCTGCATTCCTGACATTCCTGAGGATCAAGCATCTTTCTAAATCCTCCTCCTTTCCCTCTCTTTGAGCATCACCTGTTACTCTTCCATCTCCTGCTACTGGGGCTTTAGAGTTTCAGCCTCTTGCTCTGCTTTGGAGAGGAACTTTGGTTCAGCTTCATCTGGTTTTCTTGGCCAGAATTCCAGGAATAGTGACTGGATCTTAGGCATCTTCCCTCTTTCTTAAGAGTCTCTGTCCTTCCAGGGTTTAAAATATTTTCCTTGGTCAGGAGATAATCTTTCAGTAATTTAAAACTAAGGTCCTTGCCCTGTCTGGGTCCATGGTTGTCTTGATAGTTGTCCCTTTCTCCTATTCTTTGTGTCACTGTTCATTCTCTTTCTGTAGACTTGGAGCAGGGAGGGGATCCAGTGTTGCTACCTCCTCCATGGCTCTCCCTTCACTGATGCCTCTTTCTATCTTTAGGTGGAGAACACTTCCAGTCCTGGTCTCCATCTTGTTCTGTGAAGAGTCTGTGACAGCTTTCTTTCCTCCTTGGAAGATGCATCTGGGTCCTATTAGTCAACCAATTCTCTGCCACCACCCTGCACCCAGACCACTGAACAGAGCTGGATTCACCATCTTTTAGGTTTCCAGATCACTAGGAGGACCTTGAATCCATTTTTACTTGTTTGCTGTTTGTTTGAGTCAGAGTCTTGTTGGCCTCAGATTTGTTATGTAGCAGAAGACAACAGTGGATTTCTTATCCTGCCTCTACCTCACAAGTTCTGGGATTCCAGGCATAAAACACAATCCCTGGTTTATGTGGTGCTGATTTCTAACCCTGGGCTTCCTGCATGTGAGGCAAGCACTTTGACTACAAGCTATAATTCCAGTCTAGAATGTCCCTGTAGTATTAGGAATCTAATCAGAATTCTCTTGGAACATGTGTCTTTTGGTAATTCTATATTTCTTTTAATGCATTTAACACAATCCTACGTGTGGAATAGAATTCCTTTTTATAATTTAATATTCTGAATAGCAGAACATTCACAAGGACAGGAATTGCTCCTCACATCCCACTCTTTCCTGACCAGGTCCCGATCCGCCCTCCCCAAGGTCCTCACTGGTCACCCAAACTTCCACTGTGCTTTGAGAGTATCTGAACAGTCAGTCTTGGGTCTGTCCCTCGACAGTCAGCACTGAGCCTGCTCCTCCTCTGGATTTTCTACTGGGCTGCAGCCCTGGGCCATTTCCTGTGTCTGGGCACAGACTTTTCTTTCCTTCCTGTTGTTGCATAAACACTGTTAGAGTTAACGTTTTGGGGGCTACACCTTTTGGTGACTGACCAATACGTCTAATCACAATTTAGCAATGAGCGGTAGAGAAAATGGCTAGAAAAATATTTTTGTTTGCCTTAATTTTCCTTTTTCCAAAACCTAATTAGTTTTGGAACAAAACAAAACAAACCACATAATCACTGTGCTACAACTTAAAAGAATGATTTTTTTTCTCTCCTAAATTATTTGGAAACATCTGCTCTGTCTTTTACACATACCAGGATCATCTTCTTTGTGTTTATGCTGGAAAACATGCCGGCTGCTCCAGTATCCAATCAGTTAGCACAAGGAGATGTCAGCTGTCACCTGTGTCTGTTGCAGCGATTTCCCTCCTCTGTCTCTGCCCACTGTGGGTGAGCTGTCAAGTTTCTAGTTTCTGACATGCATTTACATCACTCAACGACATCTGACGGCAGTGAAAGGCCACAGAAAACTGCTTATTGATCAGAGCAAAACTAGTTGACGGAACAGATGAGGTTGTATTGCAGAGATGCGGCCACATTCAGGTGATGACATTTGCTCCCCGCACACAGAAGCCTAATGGAATACAACTTCATTATATCATGCCACTTGTGCTTACAGCCGGGAGCCTGGCTCCTGACTGTTTTGTCTATGTGGTGATGAGGACAATCTACTTGTGCTGGCTTCAATGTCTTACCACCCCGATTTGTTCATGAGCACTTGACAGCTACCTGTGACTCTGTCCTGACAAATATACCAAGAGACATTGGAGTCTCAATCTCACCAAAGTCTAATTGCACTGTCCTTTAAAAAAAAAAATAGAATTACCATTTAGTGAGCTGTAACTGGCTAGGTGAAAACTTTGATACCACTGTGCAAATAAGTTTAAATGTTTCAGCCCCCACCTTCTCCCCTCCCCCCTCCCTGCTCCACACCAATGGCATTGTCAGGGAAACAAACAAAAATTGATAAGTTGGATACAGTTGGAATCTACTATTAAATTAAACTTAATTGTTTCTCAAGAACCAAGACATCAGACTAAGGCCCTCTGCCTACAAATTGTTTCTTCTGCTTTTAAAGATAATAGCACCAACCACCTCCCATTTCCATTATCAATGCAACTATGTGGCTGTGAAGTTATAGATCTCTTCAAGTCTGTAACAGGTAACATTTAATCACAGCACACTGCCTAAAGGGAAGAAAGAAGGTATATATGGGACATACTTGCTGGCCCTCTGGCTCCTGCATGAAGGAACAGGAACACTCTCCCCTGAGGGCCATCTGACTTTTACCTTTACCCCCACAATTGCTCCCTGGAGAAATTTCCCCATTTTATGAACCCCCCCCCCAATACCACTTTCATAACTTGGTCACATCTGCATCCTACCTGAACTTGAGATTTTTCCTTCGGATTGACTTTTTGCTCCAATATGATCTAAAGACAACGTTATGTTACAACCAGATAAAGGAAGCCAATATCACTTGCCATTAATAGAAGAAAAGAGGAGCAGTTTTAAAGTATGCTTTTTGCTGAAGGCTCTAGACTGCAGCAGGCTCTCCTCTTTAAAAGACACTAGCAGTGCCACGCAAAGCTTTGGGAGGCTTTATTTTTTTAATGTGAGTGGGAGAAATGACATGGGGTTAGAAGGTAAATGTAAAGAGAGTAACTATCTTCTTGTGATTCCATATTACGCCATGTCTATGCACCACTTGAATCATTTCCTGAGCCCTCCGCCTGCCTGCAACCTGGGAAGCTGGGGTCCCGCAGATGGGAGACTACTGCTAGGGTTCCCATCCTGCTATGCTCGCTAACCCTGCCACACAGCAAGGCACTTAACCCGTGTCTCTCCTCCCTCTGTAAAAAATACGCTAATAGTACATGAACCGCAGGGAGTTGATCCAAGAAATAAATAACATTATGAATGTAAAGTGCCTGAGGGCATAGTATCTGGCACTAAGAAAAATGTTGAATATATGTAAGTCTTTATTATTAATTTCTTCCGGTTTCCTTCTGTAGACCTCATTTTACAAAAACAAACAGGACAGAGAGGTGAAGAAACTCGGAATCAACTTTAGTCACCTCCTTGTTAGTAAAGGTCAAACTTTGTCCCTTTGCTTCAAGCAAAGATCATCTTTCCCTCTGACAACACTCGTTCAAGCCCAGCTTCAGGCACTGCATATAGACACCCCCACTCAGCCCCCCAAGTCCTGAGAAGAAAATGGTTAAGCTACCTCTGGGGCATTCTCAGGCCCAAGCAAAGCACCCAAACACAACCAGTAAGGAGACGGGCTGGCTGAGTAAACACACAGCCTCCCCCTTCCAAAGCGCAAGCCAGCATGGGTAGGAGCATAGAAAACATTTAAGTAGATCTGAGTAAAGGACCCTAGATGTGACTTCTGACCTTTTGCTTATGGCACCATCACAGATAACAAAAACAAAGATGCAGAAAAGTATCCAGTGTGCTTATCTCAAACATAGCAAACTGTTCAGGAAATACTGCAAATTTTCACAAATCCCACCATTTAATATAATTTGTTTCAGTCTTTGTATTCTGAACTAACTAGAAAAAAATCTTCCTTTTCAATTACCCAGACAAAAATATGCTAGCACCTTTGCAAACTAAGTGCTTCTAAACACTTGGGCTTTGCCCTCTTGGTCTTCTAGCTAGAAACAGAAATTGACTGGAGTCAGACTCACACTGCTGTCCTCATACTATCTGGACTCACACATAGTAAGGAAAACGACAAGCATTAAGAACAATCTTTGTGGGCTGGGGAGATGGCTCAGAGGTTAAGAGCACTGCCTGCTCTTCCAAAGGTCCTGAGTTCAATTCCCAGCAACCACATGGTGGCTCACAACCATCTGTAATGAGATTTGGTGCCCTCTTCTGGCCTACAGGCATATATGCAAGCCGAACACTGTACACATAAAAAAATATTTTTTTAAAAAAGAACAATCCTTGTAAGTGGCAACAAGAATAGGACAGTGTGGTGGAACCCAGACAGAACCAAGAACAGGCATCTTGACTGTCTCCAGACATTCCAAGTTTGATGCTTTTCTCTGCCCCAACTATCAAGATGTCCTGTCAATTTGGGGGAGTTACACCATCATACTAAAACTGTAAAGGAACACTCCACATCTGCAGGCTCGACACTCGCAAAAGCTCTTTGTGTTTACTGCAAGAGACACAGTTTTGGTTTTCAAATATTTGTTTGTATGTATATGTATATGTGTGTGCATGAATTTATGAGCAGCATGAGTGTACACATGCCCACAGAGGCCAGAGGGCATCAAATCCACAGGAACTGAAGTTACGGGCAGTTGTGAGCTAGGTGATATGGGTGCTGGGAACTGAAACCAGCCTAAGGTCAACAGTTTTATACAGTGTGGTTCTTATATACACATTTTTTTGCCCAACTCTTAGCTGTTACTCTGTCTCCATGCGTATGAGCACCTTACCAGACGATAGTTGATATTGAACTGTGGTTGAATGATTCATTGAAACAGCCAGGATTCAGTGGACTATAACTTACCTAGGGGACCTGAGAGAGTCCCTTCAACAGGAAGGTAGTGATTTGCTTGGTGTCAAAGATACACTTGAGTTTTTAAGTAATACTTTTACACATGAAAATTACGGTCATAGAGTGAGCTTACAGATAGGAGCAATAGCTAAGTAAGCACATGAAAAGGCCCTTAAGACAGTCCTAGGTCAGGCAAACCTCCAGACAAGAGTCTAAGTCCTTAGGCTTTATCACGAAAGCTTTTGGCTGTAGTTAGCAGTGGTACCTGTATTCCTTGCCTCCTGAGTAAGTGGCAGGGGCAGGGCACCCTGATCAATCCAGTAAAGACCTAGAATCCCACAGTCTTCTGGCAGGTGGTGGGACCTCTTGCTGTGTACTGGTAGTGCACAGTGGAGCTACATGCAGTTGTGGGCTGCCACATGGTTCCAGGACATGGACCCAGGTCCTCCTCCAAGAGTACACACACACACACACACACACACACACACACACACACACACCCATCTCATGGTTTGTTTTTTTTATTTTTTATTCTTTTGAGACAGAGTTTCTCTATATATCCCTGGCTGAACTGGAAATCACGGGGATCCTGTATTGTCTGCCTCTTTAATTTCTGGATTAAAGGTGTGCACCACCATGCCCATTTCACAGAATTTTAAATCCAAAAAACTTGAGTTTATATATTTGTTGAGAAGGCACTTAAACAGACGTTGAACTTACAGTAATCAACATATTTTCTAGGTATTCCATTGGGTAGCTGTTTTACTTCAACAGCCCATCATTTTCAGGCTCCCACTGCTTGTACTGTTTAAAACGGTGTTATAAAATCAGCCTGAATGTCCACCAATTGATGAACAGATAAAATGTGGTTCACATACATCAAGGGAATACAATTCCACCATAAAATCTCCTCCTGCCATTTGCAACAACATAAACAGAATTGAAGACCATTATGCTAAGAGAAATAAGGCAGAAACATAATGACAGTACCACATGATCTGACTCATATAGACTCTGAAGGATTTAATCACAGGCTGGAAATGTAGCTCAGATGGTAAAATGCTTGCCTAGCATGCAAGGAACCCTGGGTTCAGTGCCCAGCGCACATAACCTGTACATGGAGACACGCTCCACCAATCTTAGCACAAAGAGAGAGAGGCGAGAACATATGAAGAACAAAGCCCTCCTCCGCTGTACAGTCCATGATCATTGACTACCTGAGACTTGTGTGTAAATGAATAATTGCTTAAAAGTTTTATCCCAAAGAACTTGAGAATAGACAATGGTTACTGGAGCCCAGGGAAAGTAGTGTGGAGGGAAGGATAGAACAGGCTGATCATTGGGTTCAAAGCTACAGGTACAAGAAACACTGCTATAACATTAATCAATATAGACGACAATATATGCTCCAAAAAGATACACAAATGGAAATATCCTATAAATACAAATAATTCTTTTATTTCATTAAAAATAAAATTTATTTCATGTTTCAAGATTGTGTGTGTGTGTGTGTGTGTCTATCTCTACTGGTCATTTAACTCTAGAAGAAATTAGATACAATTCCCACAAATGTAAAATAGGAAAGTTTCAGTTGTAAACCCTGTAGTGCAACAATACTGATCAGCCACTGGTGCCATAGTGGCAAATCTGTTAAAGGAGTAACCAACTGCTTTCTGATTGGATTTGAGGCCTGCTCACAGGAGAGAATTCATTCCTGGCAT